TCCGACACACACACCCCACCATACACATGCACCCACACCCCCCTCACTGCCATACACAAACCCCAGCCACCCTCCCTCCACAAACCTGATACCCACACACACCCCACATATCTACACACACACTCACATGCTTCCTCACCCACATACCCACACACCCACAGCCCTCCACAAACCTATACCCACTCCCACAACATACACGAGTAAGACTTCATTTTAAGCTATTGTGCAATCATCTCTATGTACACTACACAAACACATGTAAATCAGGACAAAAATTCTTTTTTGAAATCAAATTAATGAATGCTGTAGATGTTCGCTTTTTAGAATATAATTTGGTATTTTTCTGGTTCCGAGATTGCAAAACCCCTTGATGAAAGGAGCACTTCCGGAGGCAAGGGGAGGGACTTCAGGTGGCAAAGGTCAGGGGTTAGGGGAAGGGATTTCCAGTCACAAGATGGCGACCAGGGGGTGGGGCAACCATTAAGGGGCAGGGCTACCCATGTGGCCCTTAACAGCTTGCCAAAACTCGGTAAGTGGCCTCCACCTGAAATAATTGTCTGCCCCTGTCCTAACGGAACAGTGTGATCTTCTTTGCTGTCTTGTAAATAATAATAAGACATAAGCAATCGGATGTTTTTTTTAAATGTAATTTTCCCACCATGCTCCTTATTTTTCCCTGCCTCAGAGTTGTATGGGGTGCAATGCACAGTGGGCGGGACTGTACAGACAGGTTCCCTTTTGTTAGATTTTAAGATCTTTGTATTGCTTTGCTACCTAGCTTGTGTTGGAGTAACTTCAGTCTGCTCTATGCAGATAAAATAAGCAATTTGCAGTTCTCCAGCATCCCAGGAAGCACTGCTCCCACCTACTCCCAGGTAGAGTAGGGATAGAGCCCAGACATCGTTGTGCCTAGCTACACCCCTGCTCACCATTCCTCTAATGGCAAGTCAGAGCTATACAGGTAAGAAATGGAATTAACCCTTAATGTGTAACTAGTTACAGTATGTTCTAACTTTAACATTCCTTAACCTTCTACAGATGTAGTATGGCTTAAGTATACTGTGTAATTTCACTAATACATCTTCATAGGAAAATAACAATCCTGGTGATCTGAATCCAGTATTTCTAGCATTGTATGTGAGCATAATTTGTTTTAAATAAAACCTACAGAGGTGATGCGTGGCTTCTTACCGTTAGGGACAGCGCCATGCAGACAAACGTGAACTTCTTGATATGTGTTGCTCTTACTGTGCTGTTGGTGTTCACCATTTTATTGCTGGGGTTATTCTAGGTTGACAGAGAAAGATAACAAGCATTAACTTGGCTCCAGACTGCTGTTGAACCAAAGCACCAGGGTCGTAAGTAGGATTTGTCTATGTGCAAGCCTGGGTGGGCTTTTTTTTGTTTTGTTTTTTTTAAATCTATCTTCCAAATAGGGCACTTGCACAAGCTGCAGAATTTTTTCCACATAAACTGACAATCATTGTCTAAATAGGCACTCAAAACTCACTAATCTCCTTAGTTTCCCAAGGAGTAACACATTTCAATATGTAAGAGTGCCAGTAGTTTTTTGTAAAGGATACCTATGTGAATTGGTGACCCTTGTTTAAAGCTTAGAGGACCCTGTCACAGATAGGAAAAATGAGCACGGTCATACTCTGTCATCACAAAGTAGTACAATGCAACCAACCCTTATTCATGACTGATTCAATCAGCCATCCTAAGCAAAGCTCTTTGAACACATGGCTTTGCTAATTCAGTCTGAAGAACAGTAGACAATGAGAATAATTAAATGTTCCATCCTGACCATGGATTCTTTACTCACATAGTAATAGTGTGTGCAACGTATTTTTAAAAAAACCTAACAAACACCTCAAAAATGGAAGGTTACAAATTATGACTTGGCAAAGAATTACAGCCAATTTAAATGAGCTTTCATTCAAGGCATAGCAAATTTGCAGGACTGCACCCCTAGCACAGTGGCTGCAGAATTCTTATTGGATTTCACACTAAGCCATTTGAGAAGTGTGGGTAAGTGCCAAAAGTGATAACAATGCTGCTATGAGATGTTGTACAATATTTACTTAACTTTGATAAAGTTTCAATAGAGAAATATTGAAGTAGCAGTCCCACAGTTGTGACTGCTGGCTAGAGTTGCTAGGAAAGCAGAAACTCAGACCTGTCTGGGGTAAGGGGCAGTGGAGGAGAAGGATGTGGAACAGTTGAGAAGTATGCAATTTCATTAGCCTTTGCACAGATAGACCATGACCTCCATTTTGAAATGTGAAAACTTATGGCACCCAAATTAGTATGTGGTACCTAAATATCTATTTGAACTAAGATATATGGAACCACTTGCCTCCTTTGTACAAAAGCCAATAAGAATCTCAAATGGCTGTGTACCCTATGCTCTGATAACTGGTGGAGCTTGTATCTCTCTACAAGATTTGTCAACATGAGTTTACATTTTGTAAATATAACTCAAGAGAAATAACCCACAAGGTGCATTAAGCAGGCATGAAATAAAAACAGGGCATAAGGACCAGGTGGGGAAGGCAAGGGGCTTTTGCTTCTGCCTTACTGCTACTAACATTCTATCCTTTTCTTCATATAATCAAGCCCTGCTGCAATTTCTTACTTCCTACCTCTTCATTCCTTCCAACCCTGACTCTGCTGAGTTCTTGAAACAGAGCACCACGCAGAAGGAGAGTTAGAAGAGGAGGCCCAGCAAAGGTAGCACCCTTTTCCTTGCCAGAACAGAATAAGTGAATTACCTGAGAAAGTCACTTCATTAACCAAATGTTTTGTGCCCCCCACTCGGCAAATGCTGCAATTCATGGTGCATCTCATAAGTTGGAGTACCAACAACTTCCCTCAGCTTCTACTGCAAAGGAGAGAACCTGATATGTTCTAATTAGTAGAGGTGTATGAAACAGGCTGTATTCGATTCAGATTTGGCCCAAATCGGGACCAGTGATTTGATTAGTTGATTTGGATCATTGTCCCAATATGATTTGGCCAAATCCATATCTGAAGATTCGATACTGATTTGGAGAATAGGCAATTCAGTCATAGACACAGCTTTAAATGTTTTTTCTACATACCTTGAGGTACCAGGTGTGGCTCATGAACACTGCGAAGGTGGGCGGATGGAGGGTCCCACAGGCTTGCGGGGGAGGCCCCCCCCCCGCGTGCTCAGCGACAAACCTGGAAGTGGTCTGGAAATATGTCTGGTCCACTTCCGGGTCCGCCACTGAGTGCACGGCCCTTCCTCCCCAGCTCAGCAATTGGCCGCAGGGGGACCCCGGGTACTCCCAGACCCAGGAAGCATCAGTCACTGAGTGGGGATCCCCCGCACACTCCCCGGCAGGCCCAAAAGTGGACTGAAAGTTCTTCTGGTCCACTTCTGGGTCTGCCGCCGAGCATGCTGGGGACCCCCCCATGCTTCTGTGGGATGCTCCATCTGCCCCAGCAACTCAGCATTCACAAGCCACCTGGTACCTTGAAGTAAGTAGAAAAAACATTTAAAGCTGTGTCTGTGTCCAAATCGTTGAATCTTTCTGAATCGATTCAGACGGTTCTGATTTGATTTGGAGAAATTTAAAGGGTCTCCTGATTCAATTCAGATATTTGGCCACTGAATCGAGCCGAAACTCCGCTAAATCGAATCAGCAACTGAAGCTTTGCACAGCCCTACTAATTAGGTTCTTTCAAGCACTGTAATTATGGTAAAAAGATTGGTTGCTGCACACAAGCCACTTTCATCCTATCATAAAGTCTGAAAATTACAGGTGAGGTGGAAGGAGGATTGTAAATAAGTAGACGTTCTGCTTGGATTTGTTTGAGGAAGCTTAAACTAAAGAAATCATCATTTCTAACAGCTGTGATTAAGGTGAGTGATGTGTGAACAGGGATCAAAGTCTTCACAACAGACCCAAGAAAAATACTGTGCATTTCTGCTGATATTTGTTATACTGCTGCCACACACATTCACAGTCAGAAAGCTGAGAAACTCCTTACTCCTCCTCTATACTCAGTATATTTCATGCCAACTTGTCTTCAAATGTATGCCTAAAACCTCCACTTTGGTTTTACCCTGCTATTAGAACATAGCTGTCTGATGCTCATCTCAACTCAACTGCTTTCTCCCATCATTTTTTTTCTCTCAATACCACCTGCAGGCAGTGGCAGATCATGCTTGCTTTACCCTGAACTGCTGCTTCCAAGGCTAGGAGATAACCTAGCATGAGAGTAAAGGTGTTTTTGTGAGAAGACAAGACATTATTGACAAGGCCTGATTCTATTGTGGTTAATATAACATACTACCTATGAATTGCTGTCTAACTTTGCTAGGAGTAGACTTTGGCCCTGGAAGTAGAGACTCTCTATTCATCATTGTTACTTACAAATGACATTTTACTGAAAAAATTCTGGGCTCTATAAGTAGGCAATCGGGTTCTTCATTTTTTCTTTTAACCCACTCTGGTCTCCAGTTTATTAAAACTACACACCTGTAACTAGGGAATAACATCCAGTTTTTATAGTCCAATCTTTTTTCAGCAGAATGACTTCTAGGAAAACCCAGTTCTATTTCAGAAGGCAAGAAAGTCATATATGCTTATTTACAAGTTACAATAAATTTCCTTTCCATGTTTTTATTAAATGTTCTCTGTATAAGTACCAACCAAATGGGTCTTGTTTATATTTTGCCAACAAACAAATTCAGGGCTATAATATGACCAGTTAGTAGATGGGATTCTGATTGTGAAAATCAGAGAATGTTCTTGTCTAGTGGTGCTCAAACTTCTGCCTCTGTGGGCCAGATGAGTGGCATGAGGACAATTAGCAAGTTGGATCCTGGACAGGGTTGGTTCAGGTGGTTGGTCTGCAGGTGTGATCTGGTTCACCAGTTTGTCTCCACGTATGGCCTGATTTCACCAGCTGGATCCAGCGACATACTGAACCAAACCTGTGCTGGCCCAAACCTACATGCTGCATCTGGTCATGCACTGGTCCCACCCTGCATGTCAAATCCAGCCATGGATGCAGTGACCTAGGATACAGGGCCATGTCGTCCAGCCCATAGGGTTTCCCACAGGTCCAGAAATTTGGCATCAGGGGAGCATTAGTGCTGCTGCCACTGCCAAATTTCTGGACTCATGGGTAGCAGATGACATGGCTTCATAGGCCAGATCTGGCCCATAGGCCAGAGGTTTAGCACCATGGCTCTTGTCCACTGTGTAAACCAAGCGTTGATTAAAGTAATTAGGCAATTACTACTGTTAAGCTGGAGAAAAAGGTGAAGTTTCACCTGCACTGTTTTTGTTTCTCTCTTCAAGTCAATTCCAAGAGCAACTCCAATATCCTTGTCATTTGATGAACCCCAATGAATATCCTTAGTTAGCCAAATCAGTTAGTTTAGTAACATGGTAATAATGTATGGGATGTGCGCCAATCTTAACCTATTAAATAATCTTTGTTACACATTAATAGAAGCACAGTGACTTAACTTGGTCTGCAGATAGACTGCAGCATCAAGGCAGCAGGCTGTTTTTGCAGCTGAAGTGTGGGCATTTCTGCTATGGGCTATTTTGTGAAAATATTCTTCATTAGAGAAATAGCTATATTAAGCACTTAATCTTGGTTTCAGGACAGTAAACAAAGATTAAAAACTTAACCTCAGGAAGTTAAGAGTTCAGGTTAAAATTATAAGTAAAAGAATGCTTGAAATTAGAGAAAGACACAATTAGTGTCAATTAAGAATTTAGGAACTCTCTGTAAGAAAGCTAGAAAGAGATACCATTTTATATTATAAATACCAAAAATAAAAGTAAAGAACAAAAAGTTAGGTCCATCCATGAATTCAACATGGCCTAATCTACACTTCTTTTATTATTTAACAATAGGAATGGCCACAGAGATTACAGGATATCAAAGTCCTTTCCTCTCACACTTTCTTCACTGAAGTTATTCCTAATTTATAGCAGTGTGAAGCAGAGCAAAATCAAGTCTAAAATATCTACAGTGGTGGAATCACATTTCAAAGTATTTACTGCAGTCATATATGCAAGCACTCACCTTGTCAAATGCAGGGTAGACTGCTCTAAGTTCTGTCAACCAGCCATATGGCATATGTCCCACAGGGTATGTAGCTGTCAGAATTGCCACGGCCTATAGCAGGAGAAAAGGGAACATGAAAAGTTCAAATCTTCAGGCAGCTTAGATAAACTAATCTTTTAAACAATTTTAACTTAATGCTTCTATACTCCCTGCCTTCACTCTCATCAAACAAAAGGAAAGTCCTTGCATTAGGAGAAAAACATTTTAGCAGCAGTTATTCTGCAATGCATTGCAAACTCAGGAGCAGTGAAAATATATGACTTAGCTCTCTGGTTTTACTTTTTCACTGGTACTCTGATTCTATTTAGCTCTCTGTTCTGTTATTAACTCATCATTCTTTCAGTGTCTCTTCATTCTTCCCATCTTTCTCATGAATTACTCAATCTATTGAGATTTAAAATACTGTACTGTGTAAGAACCTACCGCTTTTTTATTATAGTTCACAATCTCCATTTGTCTTGATTATTCATAAGTAAAACAATTTAAAACAAAATAATTTAATTGCAAAAGATGAACTGCAGCAATGTAACTGGAGCCCTGCACACTGACTCATTTTGGATGTCAGATTGGCTGTTCTGGGCTACAAGGACCCTAGAGACAAAGAAAATGCTGCTTGTGACTATACTAATCAACTGGAATCAGCCAAAAATAATCACAGATCACTGTTTCCAGCACAAGAAAAAGCTTATTACATAAACTAGGTCCTCAAGTACTCTTAAGTGCAATTTACATAAAGGAAGTAAAAATATTAACATCTCAACAATTTTAAGATTGCTCTGTCCTGCTAATACACATTACTTTTTCGTAAGCAAGAAACCAAGCTACACATCCCCAATCACCCCTCCACCCCACCCCCGGTTTGGAACACTAAAATTGCTTTTCTCTATGAAGGCTGGTTAAGTTGTCCAAAATAGACCTGGGAAGCGCTGGCCTCATTGGGTAGTAAAGATATCTACCCCTTATGTCTTACCCTTTTCAACTGCCATGTTCCTGTTATAGCTGGGAAAGATGGTTTAGGGAGCTTTTTTATTGGCTTCTCCTTTTCTCATCTTTTCTGTTGCCACCTAGCTATGCTTCAACTGAATGCATATGCATGTGTCTTAAGATCCCTAATGGAAGAGAAACATTGGGAGTTTTGGTCTAAAGTACTGCTCTCTTTATATTTTGGTTTGTGAAAAGATTAAGCAAAGGGCTGAGGGGTTAATCCTTCTTTACCTGGACTAATGAAACATCCCCTGGGTACACAAGAAATATGGGACCTGCTCCCTGTCACTATTACAGAAATCACCTTGAATGCACACTTCTCACTAGAAATATCATCAACTTTGGAAGAAAACAACTTTAAAATCTCTTCAAACCCCTTGCCTGCTGTTTAGCTCTCCTGGGTTAGTTTTTCCAGTTATCCAATTATATTTGCCTATTATAAAATAAAACTGTTCCTCCTTCCTTGTTGGATTAAAGACCTAAACAAACGGAGGAAATGGAGCGCAAAGCTAGTCAGTGTTATTTCTTCTAAAAGGTACTGCCAAATGCCTTTCACAAACTGGAAAACTGGGGGGAAATGTTTTTCTTCTCTAATTGTTCAGGCTAAACAACAGAAATAGCATTTTTAGTTACCATTGTTTCACTTGCATAGAATCTGGGTTTTTTTAATTCTTTATTTTACCTTCAGCAGAATTTCTTTTTACATGAAAACTGATTCAGCTGAACAGAATTATGGAAGTATTTCAATTTTAATGGAGCCCAGCAATAACACAGAGCTGCCATAAGCTGTTTTTCTTTCCTTTTAAAACATTGTTCATCACCTTTTATAGGTATAACATTCCCCCTGGGGGAGAGATTAATAGAGAGAGAACTTCAGTCTTTAGTAATATTCCTGGCTCTCTTCCCCTAGATTGGTGAGGTCCTAATGTACAAGCAATGACTCTCATACTTTCCAAAACATGAAATGTGAGCATAAGTATTTGGTGAGAAAACATGCCCATCCAGCCACCCAAGTTGACATTCCCAGTAAGAACAAACAGGAATCAATAACAGCCTGTGGCCTACCAGACTCATAAATGTGCTCACACACTATGCCCTTTCACACAGCCTGTCCTTTCCATTCAAATACTGAAAGGGGCTGGCAGCAAAATGAAAAGAAATTTGAAAACCTGTCATATACAAGGCTGTTACAAGCCATTCCCCTTTCAGAATCAATACTTTCTTAAACCAGAATCAGAACTCAGGTGTGACAATGGTGCTTAAACGACTTTTCCTTTAAGCCTTTGCCCAACTATCTACCAGTTTTACATTTACATTTGCAGTCATGGTCATAGTAAAGAAATGCAAAAAGATGCACTTGTGAAATGGCAATGTGTTATAGCTAACGTAAGTGCAGAAAGCAAAAATAGAATCAGAAAACTAATGTTGGCACATTTTTCCCATGTACCAGGAACAGTAAAAATGCAGGAACCCATAGGTCCCTAACCTGAACATCTTATCATATTACATTCCATTCCTCCAATCACTTACATACATGCAGCCAGTGGAATTTTTCAGGTGTGCAACAGTGCCAAATTAATATTGCTCAGAGCAAGTGTTATATATAAACTTTATACTCCTCACTTTTCAAGTGGGCCTTTTTTTTTTAGTTTCCTGGGATTTTCTCCTATTCACCTAAGAGGCTAATCTTCCTCTTCCTGAAATCAGTGGTTGAATTCCACTGACTTACACTGGAGAAAGTGCAGAGGTCAGTGCTATTAATTACAAAACACAGATGCCTCTATATATCCTGTCCTACTGATCCATGAACACTTAAAAAAGTGAGAACTTAACAGAGGCACATAGACTGCACTTGCTCCTAAACTGTCCAAGCAGGACACATTTGGGATGGGACCCTCACCTCACCGAGTTTAGAAAGTGCTTGTATAACTATTGGGATTGGCAAGGAGGAATTTGCCAATTCAGGGGAAACAACCTGAGCACTTACTCCCCAGCCCAATGTCAGATTCTCTCCTGCCTTATCCTTGTGTTTGGGCACTCACAGCTGTGCAAAATGTTAATATATCATCATGGTAATAATTCATGTTGCTTTACACAGCTATGAGTCAAAACTGAGGAGAATGATGTTCCAAACCTCAATCCTAAAGGCTTTGGAGGTCCTAATGTCCATCTCTGTACTTGGGATCTTTGAAGCAAGAGATCCAATGGGAAATTCTGATCAGCTTTCAGGGGTCTGGTACTGGAGAGCTAACCAAGGAAGATTAGGAAGGAAGAACTGCTAAGATTAAACACCTCTGTTGGAGGTTAGCACTGTAGGCATAGGCTTAAAACTGCTTTCCTTGCTCTAATGGATGAGAACCTAAACACACTGGCAGATACCATATGTAGAAGTGGGACTGGGCACACTACTTCCTTTAACAAATATAAGTGATGATGAATTCTTCTGGTGAAATGCAATACCACTGTAAAGGACTCTTGTATGGAGTGGTGTCACATTCATCAGCGATTGTCATACCTCTGTGGCTGCAGAGCTGCCACCCAAGTCTCGAGAGACAAAAAGGTTGACAATAGGCCTGCTGATTCGCTGAGTTGCCAAAATTAATGCCAAAGGCCACCAGAAACTCAGCATCTTCCTTATTGTAGCCTCTCCCTGCAGCAGAAAAGAAACAAAGTCCCTTTTGAAACAAACAAAACAGATCCAAAAGCACAGCTCTAAAGCATTCTCCCACCCAGCAGTCAGTTCACCACATTCCAAAGTTCTCAGCAGTAAGAGCCTGAAACAGGAATGCCACATAAAATTACAATCTCCCATGTTAGCAATAGAGCTGAAGGCAGCTGTGCATTCTTAATAGCCCTATTAAACCTGAATAATTAATCAATGCATAATTTGTCCTGGCAACCGATTATAAAGATATTGATCCATAGTGGGGGGGAAATTTGTGAATTAAAGCAAGATAAAGAGAAACCGTCCTTGAACAGTCCTCTCAGAACATCAGTTTCCAAAGCCATCCTTGTAGTACTGCTGCACCGATCCTCTTGCATAATAATATAAGATTAGAAGAGATGTTTTCAGTACAGAAGTACTGATAAGTATGACTAGACAGTATACCAGTGTGGAGGGTGGCGTGACATGCACTGTATTTGTAGAAGTTAGTATCATGCACCTTGGTGTGTGTCAAGTGTTATGTGCTTTCTAGGGAACAGAGAGGGTCAGGTCATCATAAATACTAGGCTGATATTGTGATTGTTCTACATGTAGAAACAGGCACTCAGACATACCCCCATCTCAGGTCCACTTCTGTCGGGAATAATATCATGTATATTCCTGTAGTAACCCAGGCAGAGGGTGGTACATCGGACAAGTGCTCCCATGTACAGGGACAGGATTGGGATGAGGAGAGGCTCTCTGCATTCCAAGTGACTGTGGAGCAAAATGGCTACAAAAACAACCTGAAAAAGATAAACAAGAGGAGGAAAAACCTGACTTGTTACTGTGTATTTTTTTTCAAAAGACCCACACTTTTCCCAGCTGATTCAAAGCCAGTTCACATTGAACAGCATAGCACTAGTTCAGAGCACTTTGACTATGCTGGAGTAATGCCTAGGAGCCTTCATCAGAGGTCTGCCTTCTTTATTTCGTTCACCCCTTTGTGCTAGGTACTACAGAAATGAACAAGATCTTGTGCCATGTTACAGACGTGAAAATCCTAATAATGGGGTGTGGTGTGGAACCAGTAATCATACAAAGCAGCATAATTACATATATTTGGTTGTGCAGGTGACACAAATAATTCCACACACTGATAGCTGGTGAGCTTTGAAGGTCAATTTCTGACCTGTCTCTTTATGAAAGGACACAACACTGACTTCTCTGACACACACCATCTATTTTTGGTGCTTCACTTGGTTATTAAGGGTAGAGCATCCCATTTCCTTCTACCAGTCCCCTTTCTTCAAGCAAGATAGTTGCATTTTCTCCTGAACTACGAGGGCACTCAAGTAAAGCTAAATGAAACTGTTAACACTAAGGCTAGGGACAGACATTACACATGAACTGGTTTAAGTGATCAGAAACTGGTTTAAACCTGTAACAAAACAGATGTTCATTGCACATAAACCAGTTTCAAAATGACTGAAACCAGTCTGAGATCAGCCTGGTTGAATATAGTATCAGATTTAACTGATTTGGCTCAAACCAGTTTATGCAATGTCTGTCCCAGTTCCCTTGCTGGTTTAAGATAAGCCAGAGACCCCCAGCATCCCAGCATGTTCTCTGGGCTGAGCTCTCTGCTCCAGCCCAGCCAGGCTGGCTCCTCCCCTTTGCTCCCCACCCAGAACAGGGACAGGCAGGGGTCTGGCCAGGGAGGGGTTTAATTCCCCCTCCATCTCACTGGCAGAGACCCGAGACAGGTCTGTCAGGCGCTCCCCCCTAGCTGCTGCAGCAATGGGCACCATGGCCCCTGAGGCAGAGGGGAGCAGGGAAGAGAGTTAGTCTTCCCTCTACCAACCTGGGTCTGCCCACTCTCACTGCTGCGCTCCCTTCCCTCTCCCAGGGGCCCTGCCTAGCTGTGCCCCCACCCCAGAAAGGGGCTTGTTCCCTCACATTATGATTAGGGCTGCTGCAGCGGGAAGGGATAGGGCCCTTGTTGGGGGCAGCAGCCCTTATCATAATGTGGGGGAAACAAGCTCCTTTCTGGCAGGGGCACTGCGCTGTGGGGCCATCAGAGCTGCAGCAGCACTGGGGTCCAGAGTGGGCCAGAGCCCTGCAAGGCCCCCACAGCATTGCCACACTCCCCAGCAGCTCTGCTAGCCCCCACCGGGAAGGGGCTTGCACTCTGGAAAACGGTGATGGGCTGCTGCCTGATCACTGTCACTCACTCACCGTTCCAGCTGCTGGGTGGGGGTGGAAGAGGCCTATTCAGCCACTGGCTCCGACCACAGGCCAAGCGGCAGCTGTGGCCATGTTGGGCAGACCCCAATGCAGTGCCAGCAGCCAGCGGCCAAGCCTGGAGCAGCCACCAGTACTGAAGCAGGGTCTGCCCACCCTGGCTCCAGCTGCTGCTCTGTGCTCTGGGCCAGCATCCAAATAAGCCTCCTTCTGCCGGGATGGGGCTGGCCTGAACATAGAGTGGCGGCCAGGCTGGGCAGACCCCTCTGCAATGCTGGTGGCCTTTCTGTGCTTGAGGCAAGCCCCCTCCAGGCAGCAAGAGGCTTATTCAGACACTGATCGCTGGCTTCAAATCGGGGTCTGCCTGGCCTAGCTGCGGCCACCGCTGGCCCTGTGGTCAGGGCCAGTGGCTGAATAAGCCTCCTCCTGCCCGGAGTGGGCTTGCCCCAAGCACAGACCAAGTGATAGGGGTTGGACCCCACCCCTGCCCAGCAGCTGGAGCAGTGAGTGGTGAGTGAGTGACAGTGATGGGCAGCAACTCATCACTACTTCCCATCACACAGGGGCCACTCTGTGAGGCTAGCAGAGCTGCTGGGGAGCATGGCAGCACTGCAGAGGGCTTGCAGGACTCTCGTCCATTTTGGACCCCGGTCATGCCACAGCTCTACCGACCCCGCAGCGCAGTGCCCCTGCTGGGAAGGGGCTCACTCTCCCACATTATGACAGGGGCTGCTGCCCCCATCAAGGGCCCTGCCCCCTCCGGCTACAGCAGCAGGGCGGGGGCACAGCCAGGCAGGATCCCTGGGAGAGGGAATGGAGCACAGCAGTGAGGGTGGGAAGACCCAGCTCAGTAGAGGGAAAACTAACTCTCCTCCCTTCCCCCCTCTGCTGCAGGGGCCATGGTGCCCGCTGCTGCAGCAACGAGGAGGGAGCTCCTGACAGACCCGTCTTGGGTCCCTGCCAGTGGGATAGAGAGAGGGAATTAAACACCTCCCTGGCCAGCTCAGCCCAGACTGGCAACGTTTCCTCCCACAGTTTCCCTGCAGCTGAGGGCCTGCTCTAGTGCCCCCCAGCACTGTTACAAACCAGTTTAGCATAGGCAGGTTAGAATAACCTTTAAAGGTTGAATCAATTCAGGGTCTGGCTTTTTGAACATCTGTCCCTAGTCCTAAACTCAGAAACATTTAAGATTACTATCTTAATCACTCAAGGAACTTGAGGAACTTAAGTCCAAAGAACTTAAAAAAAAAAAAAAGTTGATTTTTTTTTCCACACCATTCTTAACACTTCCACGTTTAAAATACCAGCTGAGATCATACAATTTAAATTCCAGATGTCTCTGATGGAGAACAATGGGTAATACAGCTACATTTGGTTCTGCCTAAAAATGACTCTATTCAGAGGGGCTGGAATGAAAATGAGTTCTGAGTAAGCAAATGGTTGTATGTTTTCGTACAAATTTATCTTTTAAGGGCAGGTTCTCCCTTTTGCTGGATATATTTTACATATTGCTCTAAAAAGAAATTGTATCTGCAGATGTTTATGAGGTTGGGTGTGCTGTTTTTGTGAGGAATGCAAGACAGCTGGTTTAGGCCACCATTAGGAAAATGATTTTTTTCAGTAAGGTTAAATAAGCAGTTACAGAAACTATGTATCCAAAGCTGTCAAATTTTTACAAAGGGGCTACAGGTAACTAAGCTGTATTAAAGGCGTTAACTAGTGCTGATGCTCCCTTTGCATATGTTATCTGATGGGGAGAGGTCTATGTGGCTCAGCTTTTGTCCTTCTTTAGATGTTCTTGAACTCTCAGTTCTCCACTGTGGAATGAAGATTGGATGTTGTGGGCTTCACCCTCCATAGATTACAGCTGGTGTAGTCACTTGCAGTTTCATATATTTCATAGATTTTGGGGGTTGGAAGGGACCTCAGTAGATCATTGAGTCTGACCCCCTGCTCTAGGTGCTTGTCTAGTCTCCTCTTAAAGACCTCCAAGGTAGGGGAGAGCACCACCTCCCCTGGAAGCCCATTCCAGATTTTGGCAACCCTCACTGTAAAGAATTTTTTCCTAATGTCTAATCTAAGTCTGCTCTCCATCAGTTTTTGGCCGTTTTTCCTAGTAACCCCAAGGGGTGCCCAGGTAAACAGAGTATCCTATATTCCTTGCTGCCCTCCCCGCTGATAAATTTGTAGGTGGCCACAAGATCCGTCTCAGCCTTCTTCTGCAGAGGCTGTAGAGAGTCAGGTTCCTCAGTCTCTCCTCGCCGGATCTTACCTGTAGGCCCTTAACCATACCAGTATCCCTCCTCTGGACCCTCTCAAGGTTATCTACATCCCTCTTGAAGTGCAGTGCCCAGAACTGGATGCAGTACTCCAGCTGCGGTCTTACCAATACTGCATAAAGGGGAAGTATCACCTCCTTAGACCTGCTTGTGATGCACCTTCTAATGCATGAAAGTGCGGTTGGCTTTACTTATCACTTTGTCAAATTGACAACTCAGTTGTGCACAGTACACACGTAGCTCTGCCAAATCAAAATGGTAGTGTTCTAACTTCTTCATTCAGATATAAGTGACTAAACAAGATAGAAAACAAGGGGAAATGAAGCCTCAAAATCCTCGTTCTGGTTTCATGCCATGAATGCCAGGCCAATAACTTCAAGGATCATTCAAAATGAGAGCTGGGTCAAGCCCACTGAATCAATTTCCACGGTATTGAGTTAATTTGCTATAATTATTAAGAGGTATTCAATTGCAGAGATTTCAATCCACATGGGTAAAGGGAAAAAATACATTTGTATCATAGTTTTACAGGTTACCAAACCTGGTTCACGACTTGCTTCCATTTAACAATGAGAGAGTTAAGTGAAAGATACTGAGCAAAAAGTTTCTGATTTTTAATTTTCATTGCCTTTTTACTAGTCACATGCTCACTCACTCTTTTCCCTTCATGGACAAGATGATAATTGGCTTACATTACAGAGGTGCTGCAAAGCTAAACTATTAACATGTTTAGTGCTTAAAAGCAAGAACTGCTGTATCACTACTAACATGAACACAATGTTGGATATTGAATATAGGTTTAAAGGACATTTCTTTGAGGAAATGCCTAGTATAATCCAGAGTGAAGAGAACCTGGTTTTGATACTTCTTGGCTTTGAATTTAAGGAATTTAGCATCCTTTAAAAAAATACATAAAAGCACCACAGTGCGTGTGGCGGGTGCAGAGATCCCACCTCAGGAACACAGCTGGGTGTTCGTATCCCTCCGCTATTTCCACCACGTGAGGCGGGCCAGTAGGGGGTGCTCCTGCGTCGAGCCACCCACCTCCCTTTGCCCGACCACCTTCCAGGCGCTGAATGCCTCCCTAGGGGCCCCTTATGTCCGGCTGACCCCTCTCCCTGAGCACACTTGCTAGTCTGGGGGTAACGTGCCGCCACCACCCCAAGAATGGACTGTCTTGCGGCCCTGTGTCCTTGGGGTAACACAGGCCTAAGGTCCCACGGGTACTCGACCCAATACAGGCACTTGGGGTACTTCCCCAAGTCCGGGGGCAAAAAGGTATAGTCTCCCTTAGTCCACAGACCTAAGGGGTCTCTTAGGCATAATTTAGACCCACCCCTCAATAAGTCTCCCACACCAGTCAAAAAGGAGAACTTTATTGATTACAGGGGGTAGGGCAAACTAGGGTACAGGATAGAGCAATATCTAGAAATCCTAAAGAGCAAACAGTCTGGCTGTGGTAGCCTTTTGATTACGCATCTGTGATACTTCCAGCTAAATATCTAATCAGATTGAGTAGCTTACTCACAAGCATCTTCCAAAGGCAGGTGAAGTTTCCCTTTGGAGGCAGGCGGTTCCTAGCTCGTGAGTTTGGGGGGAGAGAGCCAGTTTCAGATGTTAAGGCTTCTCTGTCCCCTGCCTGGCTGCTGCGTCACCTCATGGCCGGAGAGACCGCCTCCTTCCCCATCCTAACTTATATAGCCCCTGTGACCTCATTCACCTGGGCCAGCAGAGGTCAGCCCCAGTTGGCTGTCAGCCAACCAATCTGAAATGCATCACCTGTTACCGGGCAGATTCCAGCTCCCCAGGTAGAAACCCCTTACCCAGGTAAGTGATGCAAGTCACGTAAGCAGAGGGAGCAGGTTTCCCCCTCCCTCAGGAATGCAGCCAGCTCCAGTTCCCTAAAGAGACAGGCTGAGGGTGTGGTCCCCTGTGTGCTGGGCCCATCCTAACTGAATGGTCACAGCACAGAGATTTAAATCACAGTGTCACAGGGCAGAGATTTTTGGGGAGAAACCAAGGTGGCTTTCTGCCACAGTGGGTAGGACACAAGGTATATTTTGGCTGTAGTTTTGAGCATGTGATTTTTTGGGCCCGTAGCAAACAAGGTTCCCTCTAAGCTGCACGCGTGCACGGCCACGCACAATTAAAAATCTTGCTGTGCAGTAACTTTTTAATGCTGCGCACCCACCTGGACAGAAGCTGGGCTGCGGCTTCCCAGAGAAAAGCTGGGAAGAGCCTCCCGTCCAGTTCTAACAACCGATTGTGTCCAGCATATGGCTGCCCCACAGCACTCCATTGCACTGTTCTGGGCAGCAGTTAGCATGGAGAAGGGTGGTGGGAAGGGTCCACAGTGCTTCACATGGGGCTGAACCCTGCCCACTCCCACCTGGACACTTACTGCAGGACACTTACCGGTGGACTGCGCCGAAAGGGGGAGGTGGGCCTGAAGCGGCGCGCTCACAGACCAAAGCGGCACGCTCACAGATCGCTACTTCTTAGAGGGAACATTGGAGCAAGAACATTGCTAAGTTATGTAGGCACTTGTAAAATTGCTTATGCTATGCACTGTGTCCTAAGTTTCTCCTGGTTAGTTGATGTGTACAACTGAGGGATAAAGCACTGGCTGCTCTCTCTGTAGTACCTTCAAGTCCCATTCAGTAGTTCAGCCCTATTTTATGAAGGAAGAGATAACCACCCTGTTCTCCCACTCCCAAAAGAAAGTTACAATCTCCATATTAGGACAAAGGTACCTTACCTAGGAATGGTGGGCAGCCATTTTCAGCTATGTATATGGTTGGACTCTCAGTTGCTAGAGAGCTGTATAAAACCTACCTGCAGCAGGTAATTCATGGCATTAACTCAAACACCCCTGGTTCTTTAATCCTGGGGTTGCTTTGGTACTGACCTAATCTTACCAGCTGAGAACAGCCTTTATAATTACTACTAAGGAGCCTCTATACAAATTGTTCAAGTACAGCATGCTCCACTTTGTCACCTCCACCCCTGAGAGTGGAGGAAGGATCTTGTCATGGCTGAGGAACTGTTAATTCCCTCTTGCAGCAATGATACATTTGCTTTGGATTATCAGCAAAAGTCATGGCATGGGAAAACATCTTAGTCCATAGTGCAACAGGGACAACTATGGCCAAGATGAGCCATTACCTGAGCTATGACATCTGAGATGGAGGCACATCCCACCAAGAAACTGTACTTGTGTTTCAAGAGAATGCCAGCATGGGTCCAAGCCTGCCAAAGACAGAACAGACAGTTTTGAAAATTACTAACATGGATAATATTAACTCTAGTTTCCAGGGCTCTATTTTTCTTCTGTAAAACTTTATTCAAACATTTAATGATGTACTTTCTTGCAGAGTCAGCATGCATGCATCTAGGCAAATCTAGTCCAATAATACAGAGGGAACATACTGTCACTTCTAATTCCTTTTTTCTGGGGCTGGGTAGAATGAACAGTTTAAGTAATTATACAGTGGTTGCTGAGCAAAGGAGCCAGTAATGAGAAGCTGCATTTCTTCATGTCTGGGATGCTGTGAAGCCACATTAGAGTTCTAACTGCCAAGGGTGGGGGCTCTGTTCACCAGTTTTTAGCACATAAGAAATATAGCTCTGATTTCATTCCCCTATTGGGTATAATGAATCTTGCCTTGAAAAATATGTTTATTGATGCTGCTACTTCTTATAGTTGGTTGTTGGTTATTGGTTCTAGTGGAGAAAGCAGATGGGGGCAGAGGTACATCAACAGTGGTGAGGCCTCCTATTATTTCATATGATGGTAGAGCAATTACTTAGAGGTGCAAGTTCTTCTTAAGTCAGACTCCAAATACCTGTCAAGTAACTGGGTCCTATAAGCAGAGGTCAGCACAGAAAGAAGAAATGTGAGTTAAAACTTAATTCTGAGCCATATACTCACCATGGCATCCATAAAAGGGAAGGCAGCAAGATAAAGGAAGGCCCTTCGCGTTTTACTTCCCACAGATTCATCCACATGGTGCAACTTGTTAATAATGTAATACCCCAAATCACTATATGCTGTAGAGACACAAGAATAAAAGAACCAACCACCTTAGTATTGAAGCTTACATGGAGATTCTAGGTGAGATTTTTCAATTGCACCTGGAGGAGGCAGATGCCAGACTCAGTTAGGCATTCCTGGAAATCCACCACTCTTCTTGATCAGTTGTTGCCAGTTGTTGAAATAACAGAATTTTAAGACCATGTTGTATTTTGTGGATAGATATTAGACAATAAGTATCAATGTGCTAAAAGGTCTATAAAACATTCATTCTCACTGAACACTGATATTACCTGTAAAACATATACAAAGCAGTAAAACTGCTAAGGAAAACTGATAAGGTATGCAATAAATTGTATTTAATATGCTCCTCTGATTGCTTCCCATCTACCTTTACAATTAATCACCTTTCATGGGACTAATTTCTATTCATTAATATCTCTGGGCAACTTCAAATGGCTGTTTCTTCTATTTCACGTTTTAAGGTTGATATCTCAAACATCAGAAATAGCCTTTGTACTACTGGAAAGCTTATTCCAATAATTTTCATTTGGGCATTTTCTGTCCTTTTTCATCCTGTGGTATTTATTTTTAAAGGTAACTGAAATAACTTTTAATGCTAAATTTTAGACTGCTCTAAAATGTGACAAGTTTCTTTTCGCAGAAGTGTGGTATAGTTGGAGTTTCAATACAATGGCAGATGGAAAGAAATACAAATCCAATCATTTTTAAATATACATTATAAACAATGTATAGAATACAACACTTACAATCACTTCAATATAATACTGATCAGGCTGTTAAAATCAAAAGCCAAATTATTAAATTCAGAAAGGCCAGATTAATCATGCAAAATCAACTGTGATTCAGCCCTCATATATAACCATTATGATGTGGCCTTCAACTGCATGATGATCACGTACTGGTACTAGTTAATTTTTGGCATTTAAAAAAAAATTACTTTGTACAAGCTTTAGTGTACTTAAGAATACAGATAGCAGATACCAAACTGCATTTCATATGCTTCATATATCATTTTACATAATCAGATTAACAGAGGTTATTACTATACTATTAGTGGTTCCACCCAATATTTTCTAGCCTAAGCCAACCCTCACAATGGAATTAGATGGTTACTCAAGAAGGTTAAAGATATTTGCTTAAACAACAACCCCCGTCTTTCTGTTTTTTAAAAAATTAACTCGTTACCAGGGATCCTGGTTTTTCCTGATAAAAAAAAATCACAAATTCAGTGATTAAAAAATCCAAAACCCGCAGTAAAAATTTAAGGCTCCCCACAGGCCCCCCCTGGCCCTGCTAGTGCCCCTTACTCCCCCCACAACAGCCCCCCAGCCCCACACATGCAGGCACAGGCAGACACACAGACATACACATGCACCCCAGCAGGTAGGTGTGTGTGGTGGGACGGGGGGAAAGGAAGGGGTTGGGGGGGCAGATTGAGAATGGGGTAAGAGTGCATCTCTGTGCCTACTCCCAGGATAGGGGGGGTGAGGGCAGCAGTGCCCCTCTGCGGGCCACATACATGCCACCCGGCCAGAGAAGGAGGAAGCTCGTACGTGGTGGCTGCCACCACACCACCGCCACTGGGGGCAAAGCTGGCTGGAGGCTGAGGGAGCAAGGATGTGTTGTGGGAAAACATGCAGTGCCTGCTGGCCAGCAGGCGCTCCCGGTGGGGCTTTCCCCAACAACTTCCCCTCCCTCAGCTCGGGTAGCCAGACAGCGTGGGGGGGAGTGAAGAGCGCAACCCGGGGCACGGCAGCAGAGGGGCAAGGGGCACTACCAGCCCCACACAACACACTGCCCCCCACCTCAGCTCACTCTGTGTCCAATCCCAGGAGCAGGGTTGGGGGGGCGAGGGCAGCAGTGCCCTTCTGCGGGACTCACATGTACTGCCTGGCTGGTGGGGAGGGGAGGATGCATGCAGCAGCTACCATCACCACCACTGCACTGCCGCCACTGCACCATGCACCACTTGCCTGTGGCCAGTGTTGGGAAAGCTGCATGGGATGTGGTGGTGTGGTGGCAGTCACCGGGGACGAGCCCCTGCCCGGCCCCCGGCTGGGCAGGCATGTGCAGCTCACAGAGGGGCACCGCTGCCCTCACCCCCCTGGCCCTGCTCCAGGCAAGCAGCACGGGGCACAGCGGTAGCAGTGCAATGGTGATGGCATGCAGGGCTGTCACCACCACCACGCTGCCACTGCCACTGGCGGCCACCACCACACCACTTTCAGCAGCTGCCCCCACACCGCACCTCCGCTCACATGCGGTAACAGCTGCCAGCACCACTACACTGCCACTGCCGTGCCCTGTGCTGCTTCCCCAGAGCAGGGGTGAGGGCAGCAGTGCCCCTCTGCAGGCTTCACATGCCTGCTTGGCCAGGGGTGGGGGCTCACATGCGGTAGCCACCACCACACCACCATGCCCTGCATCCTGCACGGCTTTCCTGCTACTGGCCACAGGCAAAGGTGCGAGGTGTGGCAGCAGTGGTGCAGTGGTGGCAGTGGCTGCCATGTGCGACCTCCCCCTCCCCCCAAACCAGGCAACATGAGTGTGGCCTGCAGAGGGGAACTGCTACCCTTGCCCCCCTGGCTCTGCTCCTGGGATCAGGCACAGAATGAGCTGAGGTGGGGGGCTGGCAGTGCCCCTCACCCCTCCGCTGCCACGCCCTGGGGCGCACTCTGTTCTCCCCCCCTCCCCACCTGCTCACCCTCCTGCCCAAGCTAAGGGAGGGGAAAGTGTTGGGGAAAGCCCCACCGGGAGCCACACTTGTAGTGGTGACCAACGTTTTGGCCCTGTAGGCCAGATATGCAGTGGTAGGACAGGGCCCTGACCTTGCTAGCCTTAATCTCCCACTGCTTATCTGGCCCATGGGCCCAGACCCAGTCCTGCCACACGGGCCGATGCAGCTGAACCTGATTGTGCAATGTGGGGCTGGTGCAGTTGGTGCCTGATTCTGCCATGCAGTGCTTGCAAATTTGGTGATGGGGGAGCAGTGCTAGTGTTAACTGCCACCCTTCCCCTATTACCCTGGGTGGTGTAGGGGAGGCTGGGGCCAGCATTGGGCTGGCCCCACAGCCTTACCTGGGGTCCTTCTGGGGCTACAGCAGTAGCAATCCTGCTGCTTGGAGCTTGGCCAGTAGCTGGAGTGTAGGTCTGGCCAGCCAGACTCTGGGTTTGAGTAGCACACACTGCCCTCAGGTGTGCTGCTCTGCTTTTTTTGCACAGGTTTTTCTGACCACTGGATATCCGGGAGTCAATCCCCCCCCCCCCCCCCCCCCCCCCCCC